GGATTTGTCCTGCAGGGGTCCATTTTCTTGTGTATTTTTTTCTACTTGTAGTAGTATTGTTTCATGGGTGCATGTTAACTTGCCTCACTTTTTGAGTGGATTCTGCAATGATAGACTCAGTCACTTTGTGGGGGAACTGTTTTCTGTAGGAAGCCCCTTCGACTCCCTGGAGCTATCGGGCTGATATGCAATTCATTAGACCAGGGCGTTAGTCATAGGAGTTCAGCCTACTGGGAACCATGAGCTAGAACTTGGCCCCCTCAGAGAGGAAAGCCCCCCCCCCTCCATGGTTGGGAGGTTTTCCTTCTCTACCATCGACCGAGGCTAGGCACCCAAAAAGGCAGGCATAATAAAACAGACCCCACATGGTAAGATAAAACCCCGTCAAGACCCAGGGTTTGCCGCTTTGGCTGCCATCTTCAGCAACATGTCTTGGGCTGATATTCGCATGCTGGGATTTTGGAGGTCAAATAGGGTCCAGGGCACCCGTTATTTGGTCAACGTTCCTGATCCTGGGTGTATGTGTTTGGTTTTGGGTCGCAGGTTGCAGCCAGTTATCTCGCCTTCGAGTTGTGGAGCATGTGGCAGCCGCCTCCAAGGTAAGTCCCTCTTTTCCTTATCTTTGGTTATGTAGCTCCAAGGAGCCAAAGAGGCTCTCCACAGAAAACCAGCATTTTCTGGGAGAGCCCTGGAGGCTCCCTGACACCCTCCCTCCCTTCCTCCCTCTGGTTGGTAGTTTTCGTGTTGTTTTTATACTTTGCCTCCGAATTGGAATGGCTGGGTCGCTGGCGCATGGGGTCCGGGGTTTGCCCTCCTCCTCCTGGGGGGGGGGGGGTTCTGTTCAAGTTCTGACCAAGTTCTGGCTCATGGTCCCTGGTAGGCTGAACTCCTTTGACTAATGTCCTGGTCTAATGAATTCTATATTAGCACGATAGCTCCAGGGAGCCTCCTGGTCTCACCCAGAAAATTGTGTTTCATTACATTCAACGCTAGTTTTTTGCAGCTTGGTGGCACCACGGCTGCCCAAGAGTGATCCCCTTTGTCTTCTTATAATTCGGAGTAAAAGTAAGAACATAAGAACAAAGGTAACTGCAGAAGGCCTATTGGCCCATACGAGGCAGCTCCTATCTATAACCACCCAATCCCACTCATATACATGTCCAACCCACACTTGAAGCAATCGAGGGACCCCACCTCCACCACGTTACGCGGTAATTGGTGCCACAAATCAACAACCCTGTTACCGAACCAGTATTTACCCAAGTCTTTCCTAAATCTAAACTTATTTAGATTTACTTGGTGGTTTCTTCTTGTTCTATGTTTACCCCTCTAATTCTTTCCTCCTGCACTTCTGGTGAGGTGTGTCAGGCCTCTTATCCACCTTTGCTCCAGGCTCAGAAGGATTTGGTGGGTTTTGTTGTCTGGGACTGATGTTTCTTTGAGTGTAGCTGTGCCTTTTCTGAAGGTTGCTCTTTCACTTTTGCAATGGAGGTAGTTGAGTCAAAGCTTCTCACTGGAAATCCACTGTTTAATGAATTTACTTAGTTTCTAAGACAGAGCCACAGAGATTTTACAGGAAAGGTTGGTGAGGATTGAAGGATCGTTGGGTTGACTGCATTTATCTGGTTCTTAAGAAAGGCTTTTGACACAGTTCCACATAAGCGGTTGTTCTGAAAACTGGAACAACTAGAGGAGTAACAGGCTTCTAACTTGGATGAAATATCTTCTGACAGAAAAATGAGGGCAGTAATCAGAGGCAATGCATCAAACTGGAGAAATGTAGTGAGTGTAGTACCATAAGGTTCAGTTCTTGCACTGGTAATGTTCATTTTCTACATAAACGACTTACCAGAAGGAATACATACTTATCATCATCAGCCATGTTCATCTGACATACTAGGGAAAATAAAAAAAACTTAGATGTTTGACATGCCCTTCAAGAAGACCCTGGACAAAACAAGTGTATGGAGCACCACTTAGAAAATGAAATTTTATGTGAATAAATGCCATTTTATGGAATGTGGAATAGGAGAAAATAAACCACACACAACCTACAAATTATGTGAAAAAGCTTTAAAAACATTTTAATAAAGAAAGAGCTCTACGGTTGGTTCTGATATAAAACTATCACCTGAGGACCACATAAAGAACATCATGCAGAGAGCTTGTGCTACACTTTCCAATTTTAGAATTGCTGTTAAATACTCAAACGGGGAAATACTAAATAAATTGTTCACGACCTTTGTGAGATCGAAGCTCGAATATGCAGCAGTTGTATGGTGCCCATATCTTAAGACGCACATCAACAAAATGGAAAAGGTGCAAAGACATGCAACTAAATGACTGTGGTACTGAAAGACAAGAACTACTAGGAGAGGTTAGAGGCATTAAAATATGCCAAAACTTGAAGATAGACTTAAAAGAGGAGATATGATCACTATGTAAAAAACAGTAACGGGAATCGACAAAATTGATTGGGAAGAATTCCTGATAGCTTAAACTTCAAAAACAAGAGGTCTTAGTTTTAAAGTAACTCAACAAAGCTGCTGAAGAAATATAAGAAAATTTACTTTTGCAAACAGAATGGTAGATGGTTGGAACAAGTTAGGTGAGAAGGTGGTTGAGGCCAAAACTATCTGGTTGTTAAGTGGGTGTACTTCATAGTCTCCCCTGGCACCAGGGGTTTTGTTTTTTTGATCCTGGTGGTCGTTTTGTTAGGTTGCAGCCGGCTCCTTCTTCTCTGATGAAGATTGAGTCGGCAGGCTTCTGGTGGGGTCCTTGATGCGGTTTCAGCCAGGGGTGCATCATGCTCTTTGTCTGGGAATAGCTTTACGCTGCTACCTTTGGGACATTGGTTCTGTTTTGGTGGACTCTGTGTGGGTTGATCCGATTTCCATGGGTCCCTGTTCCAGGGCTCGTCTTTCTCAGGTTCTCCTCAGTGTTTTTCAGGCTTGCCAGCCTGTCATCTACCCTTGTGCCCATGATGCCTGTATATATGCCACTCTGATGGCCAGCCTTCATAATATGTCTTTGGCCAATATTTGGGCACGGGGGGTTTGGGAGATCATCTGGGGTTTTGGCTGCCAGGTATCTTGTTACTGTCTCCGGTCCTACAAGGCCATGTGTTACATTGGGTCGTGTAATGTGGAGGTCAGTTTCTCCTTCAACTTGATCCCTGTGGTGCTGCCAGTTTCAATTTCAAACAATGCCAGTTTCTGGATGAGCTGTGGAGTCTCCCTGATACCCTCTTCTTCTTCAGGTTGTCGGCATGTTTTATCATTATAGAACTGGCCTGTGTGTGGCCCGGCCCTCCTTTCCCAGGCGAGGGGGAAGGGGGGGGGGCACAGTAGCGGGGGGTTGGTTTCACATAATTTTGGTTGTTTATTTTCATAGTTGGGGAGTTCTTTTGGCAAGGTTAAGGCTTCAGTCTCGTTTCTAAATCATGCAGTAGTTTGTTTTCATTTGCCTACCTTTCTGGGCATTTCCTTGGTGGTGGGAAAGATGATAAAATTTGAATATAAAGTGTGCATTGGCCACCGCTCCCTTCACTTCTCTGAGGGAGCCAGGTTTAGGCTCATGGTTCCCGGTAGGCCAATAGAACTCTGTTACTGATGACACCTAGTTGTATGGCACTTAATCAGTATGATAGCTTCAGGGAGCCTCCGAGGCACGCCCAGAATCTGGCGGTTTCATTAAATTCATCACTGGTTTTATGTAGAATGGGTAATTGTTATTTTTATATTGAAAATCATTTGTTTTAGTCTCATAGAAAATACTTTCCTAAGAACTACCATTATGTAAGGTTCTCCATTATCACAAATCCTGCACTGTATATGTAAATAGGAAAATGTTTACCGTTAGTTATATTTTGACAATAATAGTAATAATAAAGAAAAAATACACAGTAGATATATATATATATATATATATATATATATATATATATATATATATATATATATATATATATATATATATATATATATATATATATATATATATATATATATTATATATATATATATATATATATCCAATCGTTTCATATATATATCCAATCGTTTACCACTTTTTGCAAAAGAAAACTTTTTAATATTTTTTGTCTTCTTTGTTTCCTTAGCTTCAATCTATGATCTCTATATATATATATATATATATGCGGAAATATCCACAGAGAAATATGAAATGAGGTAAAACAAAGCCGAAACGTTCACCTCATTTCATATTTCTCTGTGGATTTTCCGCATAAAATGATCAGTGTTTTGTGATCGTCAATTGCATATATATATATATATATATATATATATATATATATATATATATATATATATATATATATTATATATATATATATATATATATATATATATATATATATATATATATATATATATATATATATATATATATATATATATATATATATATATATATATATATATATATATATATATATATATATATATATATATATATATATATATATATATATATATATATATATGTGTGTGTGTGTATATCACGAAAATAAACACGTGATTAAAAATGTGACAATGTCAGACCACGGAGGAAAAATGAAACAGGAATTTCCTTAAGTACTTTCGTATATTAATACATCTTCAGAAGGAGTGAAGATGTATTAATATACGAAAGTACTTAAGGAAATTCCTGTTTCATTTTTCCTCCGTGGTCTGACATTGTCATATATATATATATATATATATATATATATATATATATATATATATATATATATATATATATATATATATATATATATATATATATATATATATATATATATATATATATATACACAATCTTAGGAGATACTGTATATACAAACTTAGTAGATATACAACCTTAGTAAATTGTATATACTATATATAGTATATATAGTGTATATATATAATAAAAATACTAAAATTGAACATTCAATTTTGGTATATAGTATATGTTCAGTGAGAATATAGAAATATTGTAAACTTTATCTGTTTCAGTCATTATCATCTGCTGATGGTTTGGGAGATTCGCCGGTCAGAAGTCACGATTCACGTAGAAATTCACAAGATGACTCTAGGTGGCATGACACCCGAAACTGGACTTTTATGGAATCAGAGATGTCTCATCGAAAACACCACTATGACAATCATAGATTAAGGTAACCAGTTCAATTGACATTTTATAAATTGAGCATAAATTGAATATTATTTTTCTGTATTATACGTTTAAGAAAGCATTCTGACGTGTGTAACATGCATAGTACAGTACTAAACACATTACTAATGCAAAAATGTTTAGTAAATTTTTAGTACTAAATACATTACTAATGCACTATTTTATTGATCATGGAACTGTGTAAATAGATTTTGTTGGGCACCTTCTCAGTACTACTCCCAGCTTAAGCACTGCTAATTCCTGGTTAGAGTAGATTATGCCAGGTATTTGAGAAAGAAAGTACTTAATGGGGGACAATGGCATATATAAACTATTTATCATGTGTCTCTTACAAGGCAGGGAAGCCACTCTATAATGTAAAGAAAGGAGGCTACAAGACATGTTGCCTCAGTTGTAAGTCTGTACTGAGCCCACATTTAGTTTCCAGCTCTCAGAAGAGAGATGGTAGCCATCCTTGGGACATCTCATTTTACTTGGGTCCACTGCATTGTTTTCCTTCCTTTTCATGCTTTATGTATGTGTTTTATGCCACCTGCCTTGCATATGCCCCTGTATTTACATTTTTGTGCTGGGTATATGTTAGGGTTATCTTTCCTGGTTATGGACTACCATCTCATGTGTCCCCATAAGAACTGCAGGACAAGAGCTACGAGGAGAGGTTAGAGGCATTAACCACTGTGATGCGCTGAGTATATTGTAATTACCTAAGTGTAATTACCTAAGTGTAGTTACAGGATGAGAGCTACGCTCGTGGTGTCCCGTCTTCCCAGTACTCTTTGTCATATAATGCTTTGAAACTATTGATGGTTTTGGCCTCCACCACCTTCTCACCTAACTTGTTCCAACCGTCTACCACTCTGTTTGTGAAAGGGAATTTTCTTATATTTCTTTAGCATCTTTGTTTAGTTAGTTTAAATCTATGACCCCTTTTGTTCTTGAAGTTCCAGGTCTCAGGAAATCTTCCCTATCAATTATATCGATTCCTGTTACTATTTTGTACGTAGTGATCATATCACCTTTTTTTCTTCTGTCTTCTTGTTTTTTCATATTTAATGCCTCTAACCTCTCCTCGTAGCTCTTGCCTTACAGTTCTGGGAGCCACTTAGTAGCATGTCTTTGCACCTTTTCCAATTTGTTGATGTGCTTCTTAAGATATGGACAACACACAACCGCAGCATATTCTAGCTTTGGCTTAACAAAAGTCGTGAACAATTTCTTTAGTATTTCGCCATCCATGTATTTAAAAGCAATTCTAAAGTTAAAAAGCGTAGCATCGGCTCCTTGCACAACATTCTTTAAGTGGTACTCAGGTGATAGTTTTCTATCTAGAACCACCCCTAGAAAAGAGATGAAAATCACAAAATAACACGATCTCGATTTTTGATCTCTACATTGGTGTATACTATTTTCAGGAACATTTTCCCCCTCTCCTTATTCTTCACTACCCCTTTCTCTAGCAATTTTATTGGTTTGCATTTTTGTACCATATTACTGGTCTGCCTACCCCTATCACTTTGTAGAAAAAGAATTGATTTCTTCTTCGTTTCTGCTCTCATTTAGACGTTTTGCCTCTACGAGGTTTAGTTTCAGCTTCTCTCTGTCTTCTCTTGAAGAAAGATCTCGTCTTAACGACCACACTTTCTCCATCCTCATCACTTTGTAAATTTCTAGCATTCCTTAGTACTTCTTCCATCTGTTTGGCACCGTTTAGGGTGATCCTCAAAGGTTGATCTTTCCCTTTTACGTACTTTCCAATCCTCCTGTAGTCGCAGACATTCTCTGTGGTAGTAAGACCTTCCACGAGGCCAACAATTTTTTCTACTACTTTCACTTCTACAGCTCTTTCTGACCTAGATGTTTCTTTCCTAGATGTACTCTCCTTTCTAGAGAGTACATTTGGAGAGATTTGAGATGATTCCAATAATTTAGGTGCTTTATCTCGTCTATGCGTGCCGTATATGTTCTCTGTATTTCCTCTGTCAGCAATCTCTCCTGCTCTGAAGGGGAAAAGGAGTACTGAGCAGTACTCAAGACGGGACAAGACAAGTGATTTGAAGAGTACAACCATTGTGATGGGATCGCTGGATTTGAATGTTCTCGTAATCCATTCTATCATTGTTCTGGCTGATGCAATATTTGCTTGGTTATGCTCCCTAAACGTTAGGTCGTTGGACATCATTATTTCCTAATCCTTGACATGCTATTTTCCTACTATGGGCAGATTCAATTGTGTTTTGTACCCTGTATTATGTTTCAGATCCTCATTTTTGCCGTGCCTAAGTACCTGGAATTTATCACTGTTAAACATCACGTTATTTTCTGCTGACCAATCGAAAACTATGTTGATATCTGCTTGTAGTTTTTCAATGTCTTCAGCAGAGGTAATTACATGCTAATTTTTGTGTCATCTGCAAAGGTTGACACGAAGCTGTGACTTGTATTTTTGTCTATATCTGATATGAGAATAAGGAACAGTAGCGGTGTAAGAACTGTACCTTGAGGTACAGAGCATTTAACTGCACTTGAGCTCGATTTTATTTTGTTGACTGTTACTCTTTGTGTTCTGTTCGACAGGATATTGAGTATCCAGCGTCCTACTTTACCAGTTATTCCCATTGACCTCATTTTGTGTGCTATCACTCCATGGTCACATTTGTCGAATGCCTTTGCAAAGTCTGTGTATACTACATCTGCATTTTGCTTTTCTTCTAGAGCTTCAGTGATTTTGTCATAGTGGTTGAGTAACTGTGACAGACAGGATCTTCCCGCTCTAAATCCATGTTGTCCTAGGTTGTGTAGTTCAACTCTTTCAAAATTTTTTATTATGTGTGATGTTAGTGCAACTGGTCTGTAATTTTTTGCCAAGGCTTTACTACCCCCCCCCCCCCTTGTGCAGCGGAGCTATATCTGCTGATTTAAGTGCAGTTGGTATCTTCCCTGTATCCAGGCTCGTTCTCCATATTAAGCTGAGCGCTCACGCTACTGTTACTTTACATTTCTTTATGAATATTGAATTCCACGACCACCCATGGTTGCTCATTCAGTACTAACCCAGCCAGCAGCCCTAAGGCATTCTGGGAATTTTTTTCAAAATGGCTGCCTCTCACTGGAGGTCCTAAGAGTCCATTTCGTACACAACCAACCTCGTACACATTTATAATTGGTACCGAAAAATCAAAAAAAGTTTTCTCGGTTGGTGCAGTTTCTCGCCGACCGAGAATACTCGGTTGGCGCAGTTAAGTGGTTAAATGAATGGGATGCTTATTTTTAATCTAAATAACTGACTTTTACTCTGAATGTCTAAGACATGGTTTCTTGGTTTAATTATAAATTTGTATAAATGCTGAAATTCAATTAATTTTTAAGAGATGTTGTTTAAAAAATATTAAGAAGATTTATCCATGTTTGTACAGTGCAATATATTTTTGTTTATATTAATTGAATGTTGAATAATTTTTTACTCTCATTTGTCAATCAGACCTGGAAGATTACCAAAAGTTGAATCATTTGAAAGCAGAGATACTCTTCACCCAAGATCATTACGACCTCCAGTGTTTAAGTCACATAGTTTTGGGGGTTACAGTGGAGGAGTAACAGTATTATCCCGAGGAGAATCTGTCTCAAGTAATCTCTCTTCGTCTAGATTAAGTAAACAAGGTAAGAATATATTTTTCATTATAAAATAATATTTACTTAAAGTCTGTAAACTGTCTTTCACTACTTAGTAAGGTTACCATGATATCTCCTTAATATTCTTTATTTTTGCACAGTTTCATGGGATTCTTCAAGCCCATGTCACCTAGCTTCACCTACATGCTCTCTGTTTTTGCACAAGACAATCCATTATTTTATGTCTACACCTATTTTTTCAATATTTCTCCTCAGTCATGCCTTCCCAGTACTTTTTATCTCACCATTCTTCTTACTTTTATCTTGTCCACATGCATTCTACTGTTTCTTAGCAACACTCATTCCCTTCCGTACTCCAGATCGGTTCATTATTCTTTCCTGCATATTTTAACCACTGTAATGACTGATGACATCACTGGGTGTTTACCCTATGCAGGAGATGCCTGGAGCTGGTCTCATGGGGTATTCAACACTCGCGAGTTGTCACAAATATACGTGCATCCTTTTTCTGGGGGAAGTCCCTTGTGGCTCCCTGAAGCTATTGCACTGATTCAGTGCCATACTACTAGGTGCCAACAGTCGTGGAGTTCTTACTGGCCTACCGAGGACCATGAGCCAGAACCTGGCCCCCCCTACCTCAGAGAGGTGCAGGGAGTGGTGGGACTATGAACACTTTACATTTAAATTAATTCATGTCAGCCACCACCAGGGAAGCACCCAGTTTGTTAGCGAAACAAAACAGACTACTGCATGGTTAAAAACAAGACCTCAGCCAAAAAAGCTGCCAAAAGAACCCCCCCCCCCATCTATGAAAACAAATGACCCAAATTTTGTGAAACTAGTGCAAGCCAGTTCAGCCTACCTTTTCCCCTCATTTTGAGGGAGGAGGGAAGCAGGCCAGATCAACGAGCCCTCACAACTACCAGTCTGTTTTGGTGTTTTGTTTTCATGAATAAAGCAGCTTTTTTGTATTGTTTTTGTTTCCTTTCTGGGTGCGTTCTTGGTGAGGGTGACAGAAACAATCCACTGCTCCTTGTGCCTCTTTGAGGGGCCCCAGGTTCTGGCTCTGGTCTTCAGTAGGTAAATAAGACTACTGTGACTGATGTGGCTATGTAATGGAAAATTAATTTGGCAACATAGCTACAAGGATCCACCTGGGCTCACCCTGAATGGGGAGTTTCATTACATTTATTGTTTTTTTTTATGCTTATACTTATCTCATTGCGATTAATATTGTCTCTAAGTTTTGGTGTACAACAGAAACCATATTTCCACTAGTTTTTATCATCTGTGCCTGTTTTGATAAATTAAGTCTTGTCTAGAATAAAATAATGAATATAATGCTACTGTTAGCAGCACCATTATGTACATCTCAGCTGCCTTGTGCATTCCTTTGTGTAGAAAAAAACTCATGCAAATTAAGGTGCAAGATTCAGGAATATGCCATTACATTCTTACATATGTCAACTATGTATTGAATGTAATGAAACTCCATTTTCTAGGTGAGCCCCTTCGACTCCCTGGAGCTATAGGACTGATATGCGCTATATTAGTCTGGGGCTTCAGTCAATGGAGTCCTGCCTACCAGGGACCAGAGCCAGAACCTGGCCTCCTCAGAGAGGCACAGGGAGCAATGGCTTAAGGAGACCCTCTTGTATTTGGGGGTATTCCTTGTCTGCTATCAACCAGGGTTAGGCACCCAGAAAGGTAGGCATCACAAAACAAACCCAACATGGTAGGAAATTGCAAAAAACCCAAAACCGAACAGAGAAACAAAACTCCAAAAAAGGAAAACAAAGGAAACAAGCAAACAAGCAATTGTCATTCACCGCCACCTCGCCACTTGTCCGCGCAGTCCTTCCCTCCCCGGGAGGAGGGTAGCTCTGGACTTATGCATCGGCTATTCACACCTCAGTTTGTAGGCTGAGCATCAAAAACAAAACTGCTAACCGGAGGGAGGGAGGGAGGGTGCCAGGGAGCCTCCAGGGCTCACCCAGAAAATGGCATTTTATTACATTCAATGCTGGTTTTGTGTGGGGAGCCCTTTCGGCTCCCTGGAGCTACATAACTAAAGATAAGTAAAAAGAGGGATTTACTCAGGAGGAGGCCGCACCGCGTGGATCAATTTGAAGACAAGACAACTGACTCCAAACTGCAACCCGAAGCCAAACACAAACGAATGGGACCAGGAACATTTACCAAATAATGAGTGGCTAGGACCTGTTCAACCTCCAAAACCACGGCGGCTGAATGTAAGCGCAGGAAATGCTGACATTTCCTGGGCTGTTCAGTTAAATGCAGCATACTGTACTAACTAACATTATGGGTACATGGGGGAGATCTCAGGATGGCTACACTTAATAATCCTGTGGACAACCTGAGAGACCCGAATCCTGTGACAGGGGAAAGAAAATTGGATCAACCCTAAGAGCATCCACCGCCACAGAGGAAAGAAAATTGGATCAACCCTAAGAGCATCCACCGCCACAGAGGCCAAGGCACCAAGGTAATGGCACAGAGTTGCAACCGGACACAACATATGATGCACCCCTAGTCTAACCAACCAAGCATGAATAACCCAAGGGCCCCTCCAGAAGCCAGCCTTTTCATTCTTTGTCAGAAAAGGAGACGGCTACAACTAAACAAAATGTCCACCAGGACCAAAAGAGCAGAAACCACTACACCAGAGGAGTGCATGAAGCTCAGCTATCTGACTCCCAGAGGCCAATGCCAACAGAAAGAGAGCCTTCTGGAAGCAATCTCGAACCGAAGGGGCCACCACAAACTGAGGAAAAGAGAGAAAAGAGATCACCCTGTTCAAAGACCAGGATGGCTCAGGCGGTGCATGAGCAGGCCGAAGGTGAAACAATGCATGAGAAAGCTTATGGAACGCAAGCTGGAGCAGCTCCGCCAGCACCACATAATATGAGGGAACAGTATTTGGCATAAGATGACGATCCTGAGAGAGCCAAGAACGAAAGGACAAGACAACTCGAACAGAAATGGAAGTCATACTACGAAGAGAGTGGAAATGGCCAAAAGACCCCCAAGACACCTCATACTGTCTCCAAGATGAGGACCGCATGTGGAACACCATTAACAAAGCCACTTGATCACCATACAAGTGGTGATAAACTCGCGTCAAAAAGACCAGATGCGATGAGTGGAGGCGTAGATCGAACCAGCCATGTAACGGACTGGCCAGATCTTCTGGAAGAGGTGGAGCCGCGGAAAATTCCCCGAGTTTGGACATCGAGCGTGTAGTGCCTGAAACCAAGGCTGTGCTGGCCACCACGGGGCTACAAGAACACACCCACACACACCCAAAATGGGGACAAGGACCCTAACGCAAAAGAGGCCGGGCCAAGAGAAGCAAATTCCGGGATGTACAGGAGGAAAACACCAGGGTCCTCCCAAACCTCCACAGGGTAAACCCAAGAGGAAGAAAAACCTCCAGAAAGCAACTGAGGGACCCAAAGGAACCTGGAAATGAACCTAGGGGAAGCCCAAACCACGACATTTGCCAGAAGAAAATGCACCACAGAAAGGAAGGGCCAGACACACGACCCTGATCAAACCCCCAACAAAAACGGTCAGAAAAACAGACTGAAAATCAAGGGCCGAAGGCGTGGGAGCCAGTGGAGCATGCAGGGCACAGACACTGACCCCAAAACTAGAGCCCAGAACCCAAACACAAAAAACAAAAGACTGGGCAAAAAAGACAAACACCCAAACATTCCCAGAAGAACAAACAGGGCAGGAAGCCCCTAATGAAAGAACAAAACAGAGAGACGGCAATGGGAGGATGAAAACCTCCTGACAGAGGCATAAAACCAGCGAGCAGAAACCCCCTGCATCGGAGAAGAGCATGAAGCTTCCCGACCCGACCTCCAGAGGCCAATGCCAACAAGAAAAGAGTCTTACCAAACAATCCCGAACCGAAGGGGCCACCACAAACTGAGGAGAACAGAGAAAAAGAGAGCAACCGGTCTAACGACCAGAACAGCTGAGGCCGTTCACTGAGGCATGAGCAGGCAGGAAGTGAAATAAAGCACGAGAACGCTTATGGAACGCAAGTATGAACAGCTCCGCCAGCACTGCATGATATGAGGCGACAGTATTCGGCATAGGATGACGGTCCTGAAACAGCCAAGAGAGAAAGTCCAAAACATCCCGATCTGAAACCGAAGACAACCTACAAAGAGACAAAAAATTATGAAAGGACCGCCAGGAAACTTCATACTGCAGCCGAAACGAAATACGCAGGTGAGACACCATCAACGAAGCCACCTGATCACTATACAAGTGGTGATAAGCCTGCATCAGAAAGACCAGACTTGAAGATCGGAGAAGATCAAACCAGCCACGTACCAGACTGGACCAATCAGCTGGAAGAGGCAGAGGCGCGGAAGAGTTCCTGGGTTCAGACACCGAGCAAGCAGCGCTTGAACCCAAGGCTGGGCTGGCCACCAAGGATCTAACAGGACAACTCTCCCCTGGTAAGTCTTCAACCAAGCCAGAACCCGAAGCAACAGCTGAACCGGGGTGAAAGAGGTAAAGATAACCCCCACCTCGACCAGTGCTGCCAAAAGGCATCGACCCTGACAGCCTCACAGTCGGGGAAGCTCGTCACATATATTGCGAGACACCAAGACCACGCCGATGTGATGTAGTCCACCTCTGGGCGCCCGTACGTCTGGCAGACCCAGTGGAACGAGTCATCATCAACCGTCCATTCTGTGGAAATGGGAATGAACTGGGACAGGCCATCCACCAGAATGTTGGACACCCCCTGGATGTGAACCGCCAGGAGAGTCAAACCCCGAGAACTCAACAGACGAGTCACCCGAAGCAACCAGCTCTAAAGAGCCAAGGACTGAATCACAACCCTCTCGGTTCAGGCAATGAACCATTGGGGCACAGTCCAAATGAAACCGGATCATTGATTCGTGAGTGACTTGAAGCCTCCGAAGCGACAGTCACACTGCTGCGAACTCTTGCACTGTGCTATGAGCCTCATGAGGCTCACAGCTGAAACCCTCTGGAAGGAAGAGACCAAAGAACCCAAAGAACCCGGAACCGAACCCAGGGAGGAGCAGAACTTATATAAAATTTGTACAGGGAAAGGAGGGGGGGAAGAAACCCCCTCCCCCTGCAAATGGAATGCATTAAGTAGTGTTGTGGTGGAGGCTGACTCCATACACAGTTTCAAATGTAGATATGATAGAGCCCAATAGGCTCAGAAATCTGTACACCAGTTGATTGACAGTTGAGAGGCAGGACCAAAGAGCCAGAGCTCAATCCCCGCAAACACAACTAGGTGAGTACAACTAGGTGAGTACAGAGACAGGAGCCAGAGTTGAACGATCTCCACTCAACACATCATCCTCGGAATTGGGGTTGGATGGCTGGCACAGGGGTCTGGGGCTTCCCGTTCCCCCTCCTGGGAAGAAGGGGGCTTCGCAGACAGTGGCATGACAGTGGTTATGACGACATGCTCGTCTGCTTGTTTTCGGATTGGGGAGTTTTGCTTGATATTTCGACTTTCGGTAGCAGTTTTGAACTAGGTGGGGTTTTTGGGACGCCTACCTTTCCGGGTGCCTAACCCAGTCAATGGCAGACATGGAATTCTTCCAACCACATGGAGGCTTCTATAGGCCATTGCTCCTTGTGCTTCTCTGAGGAGGGGCTAGATTCTGGCTCATGGTCCCTGGTAGGAAATAACTCCAATCGAATTGACTGATGCCACGGTCTAATACATACATATCAGCCTGGTAGGCTCTGGGGAGCTGAAGGGGCTCTCCATAGAAACGCCCCAAAACACGAACTCACACACCCAGCAGTCACATGTAAACAAACCGCAGCATGGCCCTGGTGGCCAGGCAAGGAAGTGCCCACCAAAAAACAAAATGGCCATCAAAACAAAAGGAGAAGTGTCTGACGAAAAGTGGAACTCACATCAGCAAATGGGAGAAAAAAAGAAAATGGAAAGGAGGAACGAAAAAACCCACCCAGAAGGCACCAGGCCTAAGCAGGGTCAAACAGCCCCAGAACTGTGAGCAGGCTCCCTCTACAACCCCGGGAACCCTCGACAGAGGCCCACCGGGGCAGAGTCGCTCTCTACGTCCACCACCCTAGAAGAAAGGCAAAGTCCAAGGGGAAAGGCAACTAGAAGGGGAGCCTGATGGTAAGGCCCAGAAACCTCATCGGGAGGAGCAGGCTCAAAGGCCTCCATCCCCGCAATGACTGGGGCAACCCACAGAGCAGCCAGAGTTTCATTCCCAACTAAACCCCACCCTGACCCCAAAACTCTCAGACAATTGGGAGCTGGCAGCAGAAGGGAAGAGGAGCTGAGGAACCACAGCAGCAGGGGAAGGACCCAGGGGCATGGACTGCATCAAGGTCGAAATGACCAACAGCCCGAGGTGTGACCAACCAAAACAGGGCAACCCCAGGGCATTCAAGCGGGTAACCAACCTAGCGTGTTGCAGCAACCAAAACCAACGATGCAACCCAAATGCCATCTGACCCCAAAGAACTTCCGAAGAAGAACAGGTAAATTGGGGTACGAGCTGGGAACACATCTTGCAAGACTCTGGGTTGTAGGTATCACCAACCCAACAGGCAGCATTATGGAGGCAAAATAGGAAACCATCACCCTGAGACAAGGGCAACAAACAACATTCAACCTCGCACAAGGCAAGATGGAACTTGGAAGACACATCCATAGGTTCACCCACCCCAATGGGGTTTTCCAGGGCCCATAATGGTTCAGCCTACAGGAAGCCCAGGCAATGGTGCTGCAAAGCCGGTTGAGCCCTTGTATGAGAATGTCAGCATGAGGTAATAAGGCTATAACTGGACCCCTGAGAGATGTACGAGCATAGGGGCCTAAACGAGGGCCACAAAATACCTTAGTGGGACTAATAGTCAAACCAGGCAGCCCTCCTCCAACAATAAACAAAAAGAAAAGAAAAACCCTGCATAAGCACAACAACAACAGGAGGAACAGGGAAGGGAAGAGAAGGGAACTATCAGGAGAAAACGCCAAGCCATTACAACTATATAGCACTTGGAAGGGATCAGGATAAGGATTTGGGATGGGACGGAGGGAAAGGAATGGTACCCAACCACTTGGACGGTCAGGGATTGAACGCCGATCTGCATGAAGCGAGACCGTCGCTCTACCGTCCAGCCCAAGTGGTTGGAATATGGCAGTCGCTAGGTAGGCGTGCTGCACAGCACATTGCACCCCAAACCAGCAACACACTACTTCCTACCCAAGGCCAAACACAGGCCACTAAACCCCAGCTGGAGTTTAGTTGGGACAACTGCCAAGCAGCAGGAACCCCTATGGAAATGAAGCCCAAAAGCCCTAGGGAAGGGAACCCTAGAACCCAAGGGTAGTACTCACAGGATGCTTAGGGAAGGCAGCCCTCAGTACACTATGTTACCCCTTGCCATCGTGCCACAAACAGCAGGAAACACCACAAGGGCACATAATCCCACTAGAATCTGGGGCCAGAGTTGCCAACCTCCCCAGTGCACTTCAGCCTACAAACTGAGGTGTGAGTAGCCGGTGCATAGGTCCGGGGCTGCGCAGAAAAGCTGCTCGGCTGCAGTGAATGATGATTGCTTGTTTGCTTGTTTCTTTTGTTTTCCTTTGGGGAGTTTTGTTTCTCTGTTCGGTCTTGGATCTTTTGCATTTTCCTACCACGTGGGGTTAGTTTTGAGATGCCTTTTTGAGGTGCCTAACCCTGGTCGATGGCAGACGAGGAATACCCCCAAATACAAGAGGTCTCCTTAAGCCATTGCTCCCTGTGCCTTTCTGAGGGGGGGCCAGGTTCCGGCTCTGGTCTCCGGTAAGCAGAACTCCATTGACTGAAACCCCAGACTAATATAGTATATATCATTCATATAGCTCCAGGGAGCTGGAGGGGCTCCCCACAGAAAAACCAATAAAAGCAGATATTAATCTGATGAATGAATTAATGTTAATGGAAGGAATTCATGGTTTGCGGATGAATTTATAAATTTTATTTATTCATCATAAATTGCAAATTATTATTATTATTTTAAAAGGAGAAGCTTTATGGACCTGATTGTATCTACAGTAGTTAGTATGAGAATGAAATATGGTGGGTAGAAAGATGGAAAATTTTGATGAATTAATTTCATAAACTAAATATATTTTAGCTCATAAATATTTATAGTGATAAACTGTATAGAATATATGATCAAAATGTTGAAATGCTTACATATTTCTTCATTGATTGATAAATAATTTATCTGACAATGTGGCAGACAATAAAATTTAATTAGTACTTTGCAGATTGAAGAAAAATATTGCAGTGGCAGATTTTGTTGATACAGTACTGTATTTGTTTTCAGTAAATACAAACTAAACCTACACATTAGAAATGGTGAAAATGACAATATTTAGGTCAGTCTTGACTTGATAACTGTCCAGGATAGATCAAAATATTGTCACTTTTCTCTTTGTTAATGGCATGGGGTTTAGTATTTATTTGTTCCAGGCTTATCAATGTGACTTTCTCCATTATATTTTTAAAGTATACTAATGGAATAAATGTTTGGCCAATGAGTTTATCAGGTTAGAGAGACAATTTTTATTTTTTAAAAAGAGATATTTTGGCATTATTATATAAACAGAAGTGATAAGGAAATGCAAAAATTAAAGGGTGATATGGAACTTGGAAAATATTTATTTATTATGCAGGGATGAAAATGTTTCACGGATCCACAGATTTCTGCAGATTTGACTTCAGATCAAACCAATGTCAGTGGAATCAAGAACACCAGACAGACGATTCAGGTATGCTTTTAGGATTAATATTACATATAATTTTGTGAAGTTATAAAAAGAAATCCTTAATAAATACAATGATAGCCGCATTTTTTCTCTTTTACCTTTTGCCATAAGGCTGGTCAACTGTGTTTTTCCAAGTTCCACTCATTTTTGATTGTGTAATGAATAATGTACTTAGGTGATGTGAGCATGAGGCAATGTGGCCCAAAGAATTTATGGAATTGTATGCTGGTAAATTCACATAGGAGAGGGCACAATTTAAGATTCAACATAAGCAAAAAAATTACATGTTGAATATAGTACATGAGATAGGTAGAAAACATGTAGATGAGAAACAGTGATCTGTGCATGAGGTGTTTGAGTAGACTATTCATGGCCAACAAGCAGCATATTAGTGTACAGAATTAGGTATAAGAAGGTGAGATTGTTTCAGAAAAATACCCTTAAATAACATTTACTTGAGTAATGTTTTGATGATTTAATCATATAATATATATATATTTGTTTAAATGTTTCTAACAATGCCATTCATATTTATTTCTCTCAACAGACTCAACCAGTAGTAGGATAAGTGATCAGAGCATGAGTTCAGGATATAAATCGCAAAGGCAAGACACGAGTTCTACCACTGTGTCTAACACACTATCTACCACTCCTTCCCCAACCACTAGTCAACACCAACAGTCCTCCAGCAGCCAGGTAATATTAAATGAAAACAAATACAAGTGGAATAGAGAAAATTACTTGTTTTTTATACAGTATTCTCTTTTGACTTATGGGTAATGTTCTTTTTAGTGCATTTCATTAATTTTAAGTGGGGCATGGAAGTAATTACAATACTGTACCACTGATGTTCAGAACTTTAGCCAGAGGTGCTAATATCAACAGCCATTGTAATAGGGGTTTATTATACAAAAAATAATTATTTTCTTTCTTTTCAATTCAGTAAACATGCTTAGTTATAAATGGTTTCAATTCAAGTTTCCTCTTTTCTAACTTGGTTCTATCCAAAAAATAACATTATGGGTTTCCATCGAGTTAATACTAAAGTAATAATTCCCTGGAAGAAACAGGATTCATAAACACTATTCAGTCATGAGCACTGCATGGATGACACAAGGTGCTAGAGACATTGGAGAGGTACACTGATGAATATTCAAGCCCTTCCAAATTTCAATTTGGCATCACAAGTGACCATCCAGTGGTGACATCAAAATTGCTCATTTGCCTGCCCTTAGATAGGCCAACTTTTGCAACTGATGTGACTAAATAGTTTGGAACAATCTCAGTGAGATAGCTTTAGGGAACCATCAGGGGGGGGAGGGGGTACTTTCAGGAAAGAGCCAAGAGAAAAGTTTAAATTCTCTAAATACAGTATTTCAAAACTGTGATGGTTAGAAGGAAAAGATGTATTGTAATATGATCAACACACATAAAAATTATGATGAAAATTAATAAGTATGAGCAGAAAGAAATTGTGAAAACTGCAATTTTGAGAACAAAACTACAAAAAAGGTGCTCTCATCCTGTAAATACACTTAGGTAATTACATTTTGATAAAATAAATACTCTCTACCTAAGTAATTAGACACACCCACACATATAGTACACTGTACATATAATGCTGCATTTATTGTTATTTTTGTTTTTATTTTTCATACACATTTTCTATCTCAAAATTTCATTAATACATTTTCAGGTGGGTATGTGGGGAGGTGAAGGGGAGAGCCAGGCAGTAATGTGGGCAGTCACAGACATGGAAGCTGTACCTCCAGGAGCCATGTTAATCAACCCACAGGTAATTCTTTTTTCAGTTTGTTGCTTTAAATATAATTTTTGCTGTGCAAAGAAGTGCATAAATGTTTTAAACAATGTCAAATTGTTTGAAAGGAGTATTTCTAATGGGCCCTCTGTAGCTCTCTAGTGGCTTAGCTCTAATATCTACCTGGATTAAACCTGGATGGGGTTCTGGGAGCTTCGGCCCAGGTCCAAGCTTGATTTGTGAGATATAGGCATCTATAAAACTGCTAGGCACCAGGAACAGAATCTGGTGTTCTCATAGATGCAAGGAAAGCCACCAAAAAAAGTAAAGGCAGGGCAAAGCAAGTTATTTATCTTAAAGAGAGAAAAGATGGAAGGGTTTTCAGGTGCTCACGGATGCCTCGTTTCTCTGCTCGGGTTTTGTGACCAGTACTCACCAGGCCAGCCAGAATCGGTGGGGTCCATCCTTCCGTTGGGCTAACAGCACTGTGCAGGAGTTCGCGGTGGTGTGACATTTGCTTCAGAGGGTTCGTGTTGCTCGTGGAGCAATGATCCAGTTCCATTCGGACTGCTCCCCTGCGGTTCATTGTCTGAACAGCGGGGGTTCGATGCGGTCCTTGGCTTGTTGGGGCTGGTCGCTTCAGGTGACTCATTTGCTGAGTTCTCAGGGTTTGGCTCTCCTGGCGGTTCACGTTCAGGGGGGTGTCAGACGTCCTGGCGGTTAGCCTGTCTCAGTTCATTCCCCTATCCATGGAATGGACGGTCGACACAGACTCGTTCAGTTGGCTCTGCCGAACGTACGGGCACCTAGAGGTGGACCTTTTCGCATCAACTTGGTTGAGGCGTCTTCCAGCGTATGTGGCGCCCTTCCCAGACTGTGAGGCCATCGGGGTCAATGCCTTTTGGCTGGACTGGTCGAGTTGGGGTTACTTGTACCTCTTCCCACCGGTTCGGTTGTTGCTCCGGGTCCTGGTTAGCTCAGAGAGACTTACCAGGGATGAATAGTCTTATTGGCTCTTTGGTGGCAGGCCCAGCCCTGGTTTTCAGGTGCTTCTTGCTCGATGTCCGAACCTGAGGGTCTTCCCGCGGCTCTGCCTTTTTTTTAGCAGATTGGTCCATTCCGGTACGTGGCTGGTTCGATCCTCTCTGCTTCTCATGTCTGGTCTTTTTGACGCAGGTTTATCACCACTTGTTTGGTGATCAGGTGACTTAGTTGGTGTCCCACCTGCGAGTTTCGTCTAGACGGCAGTATGAGATTTCCTGGTGGTCTTGTCGGCACGTGTATCTTTGTAGGTTATTTTTGTTTCCTGGTTGGGTTGGTTTGTCCTTTCTCTCTTGGTTGTTTCAGGACCGCCTTCTTATGCCAGATACTGTCACCTCGTTTCGGGTGGTGGTGGCGGAGCTGCTGCAGCTTGCATTTGGGGTGGATGTCACTTCTGCTCCGTTCCGCAAGCTTTCTCGGGCATTGTTTTCACCTCCGGCCTGCTCATGCGCCACCTGAGCTGTCCTGGTCGTTGTACCAGGTGCTCTCTTTTCCCTTCTCCTCGGTTAGTGGTGGTCCCCTCGGTTCAGGACTGTTTTTATACAACTCTTTTCTTGTTGGCATTGGTCTCTGGGGGTCGGGTCGGAGAATATCATGCTCTCCTCCGGCGCAGGGGTTTCTGCTCTTTCACTCCTGGTGGTTTTTTCATTGTTTGCAGTCGTCTCCTTTTTTTTCTGGCGAAGAATGAGTCTGCTGCTTTCCGGAGAGGTCCTTAGGTTGTTGATGCTTGGTTGGTTCAGCCATGGGTGCATCATGTTTTTGTCTGTTTGTGGCTCTTCGCTGTTATTTGCGCTTTACGGCCTCGCTGACAGAGGACACTCTTTGGGTTGACCCAGTTTCCCCTTTTTCCCTATTCCAGGGCGCAGGTCTCCCAGGTTGTCCACAGGATTATTCGGTCCAGCCAGCCTGTGGTCTTTTCCCGTGCCCACGCTGTTCGTAAGTTTGGCATTCAGCTGCTGTTTGGCTAATGTCCTGGCCTGTCTTTTGGCCACGGAGCTATTGGAGGTCGAACAGGGTCCTGGTTGCATGTTACCTTGTTAATGTTCCTAGTCTTTCTCAGGCATGTATAGTCTTGGGTCACAAGTTGCGGCCTGTTGTCTTGACTTTGAGTTGAGGAGCAAGTGACAACCGCCTCCTGGGTGAGTCCCTTTTCTTCTTATCTTTGGTTAGGTGGCTCCGGGGAGCCGAAGGGGGCTCTCCACAGAAAACCAGCGTTGAATGCAATGAAACACCATTTTATGGGTGAGACCCAGAGGCTCCCTGACATCCCTCCCTCCCTCTGGTTGGCATTTTTTCGCGTTTTTGATACTCAGCCTCTGAACTGAGCACAGTTGCCGGCGTGGAGGTCTTGGACCCCCCATTCCCCTCCTGGGGATGGGGAGTTGTGCAGACGGATGCGCGGCAGTTGTGGTGACGTCATACTTGTTTCCTTGTTTTTGATTGGGGGAGTTCTGTTTGCTAGTAAGGCTTTCGGTTTGTAATTTTTGACCAGCAGTAGTTTGTTTTGAGATTCCTACCTTTCTGGGTGCCTGACCTGGTAGATGGCAGACAAAGGCTGCTTCCAATTACACGGGGGTGTCTTTAGGCCATTGCTCCTCGGGCCTCTCTTGTGGGGGCCAGGTTCTGGCTCTGGTCCCCGGTAGGCTTAGAACTCCCTTGATTGACTGTTGCTATGGTCAAATATATACACATCAGCCCGGTATAGCTCCGGGAAGCCTCCAGGTCTCACCCAAAAAATGGCGTTTCATTGCATTCAATGCTGTTATTTTTTAGTGAGATTTTGAGATCATACAGTATTTTTAGTAGATTTACAGTTTGGCCATTAGATCACTCCCTAGCCATTAGATTTTATGTAATTAGATTTTATTACTTTTCATGAAACTCATGTGGAAATAGTTCTTGTCCTATGTACACAAGTATAATCATTCTTTTCAATTTTTTTTTAGAGTGGACAGCCTTATATGAATTCTGATGGGTCAGTATATCGTTTTGACCCAAACAATCCACCTCAGCTCAGTCCTGGTGCTAATGGTAATAGTTCCAGTAGTGGGAACTCACGGGAAAAAGAATCACCAACAAATAAGGATACAACCAGTCAACCATCAGGTATGTTGTGATTTTAATCATTATTATCACATTTCTTACTTTCAGTAGGTGAGGAGAATCTTAGTAGACAGAAGAGCATATACAGGCACACCTCAAAAATCCAGATTATATTGTTCCGGCCCAATCTGTGGCTCCATGAAGTTGTTTAGCTGAGATTGCTTCATACTGAAAGTGGACCAATTTCTGGGTGAGCCCCAGTGGCTTCCTAACATCCTCCTTCCCTTCAGGTTCTCTTTGAGGGGGGGAGGGTTGCATCATTGTTGAACTGAAGGGTGCAGCAGTTGGCTGACCCCCTGGCTGCCTGCCTCTTCCCTTAAACAAAGGATGGGGGGGGGAAGAGGTGAGGTTAACAAGCTGGCGCTAGTTTCGTGAAATTTCAATCCCTTGTTCACATTGTTGGAGCGAGTTCTATAGCTATTTCTTGAGGCTGTGGTCTTGTTTAAAGCCAGCAGTGGATTGTTTTATTTTGCTGGCTTTCAGGGTGCCTTCCTCAGTGGTGGCATAATTGAATAACCTAATGTATAAATGCCACTGCTCCCTGCACCTCTGTAAAGGGGGCCAGGTTCTGCCTTTTGGTCTCCAGTAGGCCCTAGAACCTGCGACGGATGGGACCTAAAGTATGGCACACTATCAGAGATAGTAGCTTCAAGGAGCCACCGGGGCTCACCCAGAAATTGACATTTCATTGCATTCAGCACTGTTGTATTTTATTTTATTTATTTATTTATTTATTTATTTAGACTTAGTGTGACAGTTAGTATGATTTTCCACAGGCAGTTCAAGTGGAAGCATAACAACATGTATACCTCAAATTCCAGCTGTTTCTCCACCCCCTCCACATGAATTGCCTCCACCTGTCTCAACCAGTGTCCGGAGTCCACCTAGTAAACAGCACAGTCTACAGCAAGCTTCACCTGAGCCTGTACAAAGTATGTCGTGAAATATTTTCTATTATTTCTTAATGATGCCTCAGTAAATGCAGATATTTAGTGTTTATTTAGGAACTATATTTATTTTAGGAACTATATTATAGTTCCTGTTCTTGGAGACAAGAATCCTGTACTGCACTTAGGCTTATTGAGGTCACCCTAGGTCAACTACTGACCTTGCCCCAGGATGTAACCCACAACAGTTGTGGGTTACATCCACATTGTCCTGGTAACTTCTAGGAACCTATTTACTGCTAGGTGAACAGAAGTATCTGGTGAAAGTAAATGTGCCCAACCATTTCTGTCCCACCTGGTAATTGAACTCAGGTTTCTTAAATGTGAATCGAGGACATAGAGCACCTCACTGCAGAACCATATAACTATAATATAATATAATATAATATAATATATATATATATATATATATATATATATATATATATATATATATATATATATATATATATATATATATATATATATATATATATATATATATATATATATAGTGTAGTGCTTTCCTGTAGACATATATTATTAAATATGACCGAAAAAGTAAGATTAATAATTCTAACACGAATTTTCTCAATCTTTCGTACATTTCTTTTCACTGTTGGTGGCAATTCAAAAATCAATTCTCCAAAATTCATTTTTATTTCTAGTCTGACACGACACTTGAGCGCGTTTCGTAAAACTTATTACATTTTCAAAGACTTTAGTTTACACATACACAACTGAATAGAACTTACACATCTCCGATTTGTTTATATCTACATTTGAGTGAGGTGGATGGGGTGAGGTGGTATTTAATAGGGTATTAAATTCATCAACACAAGACAGAACACGAAACAATGGGTATTTGAATAGAAGTGATTGTAGAAAGCCTATTGGTCCATATTTCTTGATGCTTCTATATTGGAGCGGAGTCTTGAGGTGGGTAGAATATAGTTGTGCATTAATTGGCTGTTGATTGCTGGTGTTGACTTCAGATTGAACACCTGGAGAGAATTTATATAATAACACACAGACAGGCATGGGTATCAATCGGGAAGATCTTGTGTAACAAATCTACTTAGCTTCTTTGAAAGTCACAGAGATTTTACAGGAAAGAGATAGTTGGGTTGACTCCATTTATCTGAACCTAAAAAAGCATTCAACAGAATCCCATATAAGTTGTTGTTGTTCAGGAAACTGGATAAAGCTGGAGGATTGACATGGAGATTTCTGTCATGGGTGACACATTTTCTAATAGACAAATGAGGGCAGTAATCAAAGGCAATGTATGAGACTGGAGAAGTACTCACCTAGTAAAATGTTACCAGTGGAGTATCACAGAGTTCAGTTCAAGCACCATTTATTGTGAATAAATGCATATTACGGAATGTGGAATATGAGAAAATATGTCACACACAACCTACAAATTATGTGTAAAAGCTTTAAAGAATTCAGATAAAGAGAGAAACATAGAGATGGTGCTGGATAAAAAACTGTCACCTTAGAATCACATAAAGAACATTTTGCAAGGAGCATATGCTATGCTTTCCAACTTTAAAATCGCTTTTAAATACTGTACATGGATGGTGAAATATTAAAGAAATTATTCACATCCTTTTTAAGACCAAAATTGGAATATGCTGCAGTTGTATGGTGCTCATATCTGAAGAAGCATATTATTAAACTAGAAAAGGTGCTAAAAACATGCAAATAAATGACTTTCAGAACTGTAAACTAAGAGCTACAAGGAGAGGGAAGCAGCATTAAATATGCCAAAGCTAGAAGATAGAAGAAAATGAAGTGATACACTCACTGTGTCTAAAATAGTAACAGGAACAAACAAAATTAACAACTAAGAACTTTCAAAAACTGCAACTTCAAGAAGAAGAGAACTAAGGTTCAAACTAAGAAAACAAAGCTGAAAAAAAAAAAAATAGAAAGTTCACTTCTGCAAACAGAGTGGTGAATGGGTGGAACAAGTTAAGTGAAAAGGTGGTGGAGGCCAAAGCTGTTAGTAGTTTCAAAACGTTTATGGCCAAAAGTACTGGGAGGATGGGATATGGGATACAACAAGCATAGCTCTCATCTTGTAATTAGGTATTTACTATCAGAGATAGTAGCTTTACAGAGCCACCAGGAATCACCCCCAAATTGGAGTTTCAATACATTCAATGCTGGTTTTATTTTTTAAATCTTGATCTTATGACTTGTAGTTTATTAACTCTTCTGCATTATCGTCAAGTCTGATCTCTCAAGTGTCCTAATAGCAGGTGCAGTGAGCAGTGGTATCTCAAACAGTGAAGCTAGAGAAACAGAAGGTAGCAGCAGAACTGGCAGTGGAGGAACCAGTGAAAGTGTTGTACAGCAAGCTTCCCAAGTTATCTATCCACAGTATTACCAATTAGAATCCAGATCGTTTTCACAGGTAGGTTTAAAGCAGAACTATGTTGTTGATTTTATAGGCTGCATGGTGACCATGATGAGTCCTCAATTGCTGTTTATTACTTTGTGTTATATATCACCTGCTACTCATCTGTATCCAAAATATAAAGTATCTTTCATTTGTACCTTTGTAGTCTAAGCACTGATTCCTCTTTTAGATAAATATTTGGTTTTGTTCACTTTACTGCCTCTTCTTTCCACTCTCTCTTTAAGAGAGAGAGGAAAGAAGGTGTAATTACCTAAGTGTAATTACACTTGGGTAATTACTCTTAGGTAATAATTACTTAGGTACTGTATTTAGATTTTTAGTCAACCAACCCTGACTTCCATTCCTCCAGAAGTTATATACTTATGTAAAAATGTTTGTCCTGCAATCACCCACACCTTTTTTGAGTTATTATTGTGTACTGTATATGTCATCAAAACTTTTGTCAAATATTATGCATTCAATATTTTCCTGATGCCCTCTGAAAAGTATTTGTTATATGTCCAGATATTCATTTGTCATTATAACTTACTGATTTTCTAATTATTATCTTCTTAAATATAATTCAGAATTGACTAAATGAATTAAAATTTTGGCTAAATGAATAACAATTTCCAGGAAGGACATGTAAATGAAGTGACAAGCCATATACGAGGTTTATGTTTAAGTGGGCCAAGCAGTGGAGGGGATAGTGGTGGGGATCTTTCAACAGTACAAGCATCAGCTGCTCCTCTTCCTCAGAGTTACATTGTTCCTAGACAGCACTATACACAGGTAATATTTTTGTTTGCAATAATAATTAAATGTTTTAAACGCATTATCAATTGGTAAAATGGTATATTATGTGACAATTTTGTTATGGGTATACAGTACTTTGTTTCTCACATTGAACATGCACAGGGGATTTATCTCTTAAAGTGCGCAACACATCATATGATGTGTTGAGCAACTTATGCAAAATTGCGAAACACATCATATGATGTGATGGAGTACGGCGCAGGATTTGAATCGCCAGCGGGGTAGGGAACCGCCCCATACTCTGCCCAGGGGCTATAGTAAACAGCTGCCATTTTGTAAAAAAAATCCTGCTCTCGCCACCAACGCGTGGGAGGCCTCAGTTACCCAGCGGTCACCATGGCGAACACACGGCCAAACGCCTCCCAGGCACGCAGCACACAATCACTTACTCAAGATCAAATAACTAGTGAATTATTTTCTGATGGTGAGGAAAGTGATTTTGATGACTCTGACATATATAAGGACTATACACAATTGACCGATGATAGTAGAACAGACAGTGAAAATGAGATACAGCTTCCTCCCATGGTAAGACCTACATGCTCACCCATGCCTCCTCACCCAGTGTCTACTCCAATTCACCCACGACCACACAGTTCCTGTGCTTATTTAGAGTATGAGGATATTTTGGGGGACGAGTCAGAGGAAGGTGACTCTTTTTCTGGTTTTAGTGAAGTGGATTCAGAGCATAGTGTTACCTTGCCTGTCGCTAGTACGTGTAGTGTTACCGGGCGAGAATTTGTCACGTCAGCAGCGTCTCGCCCAGCCAAGAGCCGCCGCATAGCACTACACGAGGAATCAAGACCCTCATGTTCACTTGATTTCACCTCACGTTCGTGTAGCACCCGTACTTTGTGTAGACGGGCTTCAGCTCCTGGTCCACGGTGTGCAATGCTTCCTCGCTGTCGTGCTGCTGTTGCATCTCGCAGAACACCAGGTGTACTTTTGTGGAGTGATGGTGACGATTTTATTTCTCTAATTCCTACCTTTGACAATAAAGATGTTAGGATTACAGACCTTTTCCCTGATAATCATGAGGATATGTGTGAAATGGATTATTTTACAGCATTTTATAATGAGCCGCTCATGGAATATATTGGACACCAAATGAACCTTCATGCGGATCATCTCATTGGAAAAGAGATAATAGAATATTCACGATTGCAGCGTTGGAAAAACACTACTGTAGATGAAATGTATGTATTTTTGACACTATGTATGTTGATGAAACATTATGTCAAACATGCTATCACAGATTATTGGAGCAAAGACCAGACTGTTTCAACACCTTTGTTCGGGAAATATATGTCCCGAGACAGGTTTCAGATACTCCTCAGGTGTCTACATTTTGCAAGTAATGAGGACTGGACAGAGGATGATAGACTTTGGAGAGTCAGGCACATTATGAATGAAGTGATTGGAAAGTACAGAGATTTCTATGTACCAGCAAAGAAGCTGGTAATTGATGAATCCCGTGTGATTTTCAAAGGACATGTTGCCTTCAAGCAGTATATTCCCTACAAATTATTTAATTTGTAGGGAATTTAAATTAATTTTTCAAGAGCCCTGAGGAAGCTGATGTGAACCTCATGTAGCCGCGGGAGTTTTGAATCATACGCTAAAAGTAAAAATATCCAGAGGCGCGTTGCGCACCCCCCATCGAGGGCCTGCAGGTGCGTTGCCATATTAATGTAATGAAACGCCATTTTCTGAGAGAGTCCCAGAAGCTCCCCGGAGCTATCCAGAGTGATAGGAATAGTCCTAACTTTTGGCATCAGTCAATGTGGGTGGAGTTCTACGCCTACCGGGAACCACGGCCAGAATCTGGCCCCCTCAGAGAGGCACGTGGAGCAATGGCCTATAAAAATGCACATGTAACTTTGGAGCATTCTATATCTCCCATCGACCGGGACAGGAACCCGGAAAGGTAAGCGCCTCAAAACAAACCCATATTCTGGTGAAACCAATGAAAATAATGAAACAAGTGGACAGAACTCCCCCAAGGAAAAATGAGCAAACAAGCATGACGTCACTCGCGCCGTGCCGCATGTCTGCGCAGCTCCCCACTCCCCGGGAGGGGGAAGGGGGGGAGCCCCAGACCCCCTGCACCAGTGATCCACACCTTCAGTTCCGAGGCTGGATATCAAAATACGCGAAAACCGCCGACTGGAGGGAGGGAGGGTTGCCGGGGAGCCTCCGGGACTCACCCAGAAAATGGCGTTTCATTACATTCAATGCTGGTTTTCTGGGGGGAGCCCCTATGGCTCCCCGGAGCTACTTCACCAAAGACTAAGAAAAGAAGGGGACTTACCTGGGAGACGGTCGGTGCTCCACACCTCAACTCGAAGTCGAGACAGGCTGCAGCCGCCGACCCAAAGCGACACAGGCCCGACTAGGCCCAGGAACGTTCACGAGGTAGCGTGCAGCCAGGACCCTGTTCAACCGCCAAAAACCCCGTGCCCGAATGTCAGCCCAGGACATGTTCCCAAAAACGGCAGCAAGAGCAGCGAACTTACGAACGTCATGGGCACGGGGATAGACCGCAGGCTGGCTAGACTTAATAACCCTGTGGACGACCTGAGAGATGCATACCCATGAACAGGGAAGAAGGGAAACCGGATCAACCCAAAGCACGTCCCCGGACACAGAAGCCGTGGCGCGCAAATAACGGCGGAGGGCCGCAACCGGACACAAAACATGATGCACCCCCGGCCTGACCAACCAAGCATCAACAACCCAAGGACCCCTCCGGAAAGCAGCAGTCTCATTCTTCGCCAGAAAAGAAGGAGATGGCTGCAGACAAACAAACCTATGTGCACAGCCAAAAGAGCAGAAACCCCTGCGCCGGAGGAGAGCATGAGGCCCCACGACCCGACCCCTAGAGGCCAATGCCAACAGGAAAGGAGCCTTCGAAAAACAATCCTGAACTAAAGGGGCCACAACAAACTGAGGAGAAGAGAGATAGGAGAGCACTGTCCAAAGGACCAGGATGGCTCAGGTGGCGCATGAACAGGCCGGAGGTGAAACAATGCACAAGACAGCTTGCGAAACGGCACAGAAGTAACATCTATACCGAAAGCAAGCTGAAGCGGCTCCGCCCGGGCCACACGATATGAGGCGACAGTATTCGGCATAAGATGACGGTCCTGGAACAACCACGAGAGAAAGGACAACACCACCCGAACCGAAAACGAAGTACAACGACAAAGAGTAAAAAAAAAAACAAATGGTGATAAACTCTAGTAAAAAATACCAAACGTTTAAACTCAAGGAGAAGAGCGAACCAGTCTCATAATGGACCGGCCTGATCTTCTGAAAGAGGCGGAGCCGCAGAAAACCGCAACAGCGCATCCCGCAGGATCGGCGCAAACAGCTTCAAAAAGGTAGACAATGCATGACCAGCTGAAGCCAACCTGCTAGACCCAGGAATGGCCCCAAGTGCCTCTACATCCTCCGCAAGCCAATCTGACGACAGCTCAAGGAGGGGAAAAAAAAACCAGGACTGAAGTCCTCAGCCACAAGCATTGCCGACAAGGAGGGAACCTGCACATGAGGCTGAACCACGCCAACATCCCGCAGAAGAGCCAAAGCGAAAACATACTCATTAAGGTGCGCAAAGTCACCCCCCCAGGTAAACCTGGACCACAGTCAACGCCTCACGCCACTCAAGCGTGCGGGTATGACAGAAGGTGTCCCAAGCATCCAGCAAAAACAAAAGGCAGTCCACTAGCCAGGACGACTCTGGAACCCTCAAAACGAACCCAGTATGGAGATGAAGACCCAAACCTGAAGGAAGATGGATCCCTTATAGGGGCATAATCCAGGTCACACAGCCCTTCGCAAATAGAGTGGTAGACGGTTGGAACAAGTTAAGTGAGAAGGTGGTGGAGGCCAAGACCGTCAGTAGTTTCAAAGCGTTATATGACAAAGAGTGCTGGGAAGACGGGACACCACGAGCATAGCTCTCATCCTGTAACTACACTTAGGTAATTACAGGAGGTAAGCCGCAATGGCCGCCCACACCTCAACTGGAGAGATGCAGGAAGCCGAAAACGGAAGGACGGAACCGAAGGACCCGCAGGGTTACGGAACCGAACCCAGGGAGGAGCAAACCCAAATTCAAGTTGTAAGCAGAGGGGGAAAAAAAACAGAGGGAGGAAAATGAGCGTCACCGTGAGACAAGGAGACAGAGCAACCCTCAAACTCACACAAAGCGAGAGGAGACTCAGAGGTCACATCCATTGGATCCGAGCGCCCTACGGGGTTTCCCAGGGCCTTTAGACTGGGTCTGCTAAGGGTTATCCCAGGCAGAGTACTGCTAACCGGCGCCCAAGCTACCAACCAACACTGCTAAAGCTGAACCCTCGGGACATGTCCAGTCACGAAGGTGAAGCATGGGGGGGGTACCACCAAACACAAACAACCCTAATATAAAGGAGAAGGGACACCATGGCAGACCCCCCCCCCCTGCCAGGCGAAAACAAAAGGAAAAGAAAAACCTCGCAAGAGGACAGCATACCCAGAGGGAACAGAGCCAGCCGCTGTTATAGGTGAAAACTAGCTACGCAGTACTGCGTGCCCTACGAGTGCAAAAATTACCACTTACCCCAAGGCAAACAAGGGAGGAATTCCCCAAAGAACTCAGGGCGGTCAATCGCCAAGCAGCGAAAGACCAACAAAGGTAGACACAAGGTGACTTGTGGAATGTAACCCCAAGTCCCTAGGGCAGTACTTACAGGGTACTTAGGAAAAGGAGCCCTAAGCACATACAGCTCGAGTACCTGTGAATATTACTCCCAGCTCGCATACCACCGAAGAGAAGTACTGAACCCAGGCACAGCACAAAGAGAATCTGGAGCTGGAGCCACAACGACTGAGCCTAATCCCATCAGCCAAGGTGACGCTCCACACTGGAGGTATGGATCACCGGCGTGGGGGTCTGGGGCTCCATCCTCCCGGGGAGTGGGGGAGCTGAGCAGACATGCGGTGCATATGACGTCATGCTTGTTTGCTCATTTTCCCTTGGGAGAGTTCTGTCCACTTGTTTCGTTATTTTTGTTGGTTTCAATAGAATAGGGGTTTGTTTTGAGGCACTAACCTTTCTGGGTGCCTGTCCAGGTCGATGGCAGATATAGAATGCTCCAAAATCACGTGCATTTCTATAGCCCATCATGCCTCTCTGAAGGGGCCAGGTTCTGGCCGTGGTCTCCGGTAGGCCTAGAACTCCACCCACATCGACTGATGCCAAAAGTTAGGACTATTCCTATCAGCCTGGATAGCTTCGGAGAGCCGTACGGGCTCCCCCCAGAAAAGGTTTTATTTCTGCAATTTTTTAAAATTGTTGCATATGTGTATTTCATTATTGTGTATTAGATGTTTATTTACTTTTCCAGCCTGTATACTACATGCCAGCTGGAAGTGTTGCCAACATGAGTGGGTCCCTCAAATATGTTTACCCTCAGTACCAAATGGCTCCAGTACAAGCAGCCCCAGCTGGTGTTCAGGCACCACCAGGGGTGCAACCTGCAGGCATGCAGCAGGTGCAAGGTATGGCTGCTATACCTGCAGTGCCAGCTTTGGCAGGGGCTGTTCCTACAGCACCAGTACCACCCACCGCCCACCATCCCTCCATGGACCATAACCCTGTACTTCCTCCAGGTAAATTTGGAATGACAGGATATTTACACATTGTGTGTTGTGTCTTCCATTGTTTTATTATTGCCCATGGTAATTTTAAGCTGCAGATTATAATTTATTATTTTTATTATTATTATGCATGTTTGTATTTTACAATTTCTGGGGGAGTCCCTTCTGCTCCCCGGAGCTACCCGGGCTGATATGAATGTATTAGACCGTGGCATCAAGACGAATGGAGTTCTTAGTCCTACCGGGGACCACGAGCCAGAACCTGGCCCCCTCAGACAAGCACAAGGAACAATGGTCTATAGAATTCCCTGTGTGGTTGGAAGCATTCTATGTCTGCCATCGACCAACAGTTTGGCTTTCAGTAGCAATTTTTAACCAGATAGGATTTGTTTTGGGGCACCTACCTTTCTAGATGCCTGACCCAGTTGATGGCAGACGCAGAATGCTTCCAACTACTTGCGGGTTTCTATAGGCAATTGCTCCTCATACCTTTCTGAGGAGGCCAGGTTCTGGCTTGTGGGCCCTGGTAGGCCTAAGAACTCCATTCGCTTTGACTGATGCCACGGTCTAATACACTCAAATCAGCCCAGAAAGCTCTGTGGAGCCTCCGGGTCTCACCCAGAAAATGGTGTTTCATTACATTCAACGCTTGTTTTTTTGTGGGGAAGAGAACAAGATGCTTGAAAGTTCTCTTAAGTCTTTCTTGAGGGAGCTCCTTACCTGAAGCTACTATCACTGATAGTGTACCATCAACTAGGTCGCATCAGCTGCGGAATACCATTCTTTCCATAGGGCGTTGGGGGATATTTCCATCTTCGTAGAACTGAGGGCAGAGGTGCTGGCTGACACCAGGCTGCCTACGTCTTTTATCCCAAATGAGGGAGAAATGCTAACTTCATGAATTTTTTATAGTTTACATAGTTGGGGGAGTTATTTCAGCAGTTCTTGAGGCTACAATCTAGCTTATAACCAACAGTGGTCTGTTTTATTTCACTGACTTTCTGGGTGTCTTCCCTTGGTTCCTGGTAGCATATAGAACTCCATGACTGATGGCTCCTAGCAGTGTAGCACTCTATCAGAAATAGTAGCTTTTGGGAGCCAATGGGGCCCACCAGAAATTGGCTGTTCATTAAATTCAAAGCTGTTTTTTTTATCTAATACTTGTTTTAAATTTTTCACATAGGTGGAGGCTATCTTCCAGGAGGCTATACGGTTGTGACATATCCAGCGGGTAGCAGTGTAGGAGGAACCACTAATGGTCAAGAGACAGGTGGCACTACTTATTATTATCAGTTACCTGCAACAGCTTCAGGTGCAGGTCTTACCGGACCTATACCAGCTGGTCAGCCACCAACAAGTCTCCAGCAGTACACTCTAACCCCATCATCTTCTACCACCACTTTCCCTCAGTAAGTTTGTATAATTTTGCATAACTTAATTTTTTACTCTTTGTTAATACTCAAATGTAATACAGTATCTATCTTAGCTGTAGTCAGTCATCAATACTACAATCATAAATTATGTATTCTGGGAAAACCTCAGCATGTCTAAATTCAACCCATCCTCTTGTTTAGATAGTACCTATTGTGACAATTGTCAATAGTCGCGTATTCGTATTGTACATACTTAGCTTTTAGATAGTAGTATACTGACTTGTAAGGAATTCTTTTATAAAAATAAAGCTAAAAAAATTTAATATTCCTAGGTTTAGTATGGCATACATATGTACTATATTCTCAGATATCGTGTATTATGCCTAGGAAGGTTAGGTTAGTTTATCTTTGCAACTAACTATATATATATATATATATATATATATATATATATATATATATATATATATATATATATATATATATATATATATATATATATATATATATTTAGTCTTGGGGGACCATTCAGGCTTGTTCGCATATATGTATATATATACCATGGTCTTCATCATTACTATAAGTACTATACTACTAAAACAGGAGGATGGGCTGCTAAATTTGTGAATATCAGAATACCAAGAAAATTTTACCATGTCGTGATGTAGTAATTACCTAAAGTGTAATTGCCTAAGTGTAGTTATAGGCTGAGAACTATGCATGTGGTGTCCCGTCTTCCTAGTACTCTGTCATATAATGCTTTCAAACTACTGATGGTCTTGGCCTCCACCACATTCTTAGTTAACTTGTTCAAACCGTCTACCACTCTGTTTGCAAAAGTTAATTTTATTATATTTCTTTGGCAGCTTTGTTTTGTTAGCTTAAATCTATGACTTCTTATTCTTGAAGTTCCAGGTCTGAAAAATTCTTCCTTATCAATTTTGTTGATTCCCATCACTATTTGGTATGTAGTAATCATATCGCCTCTTTTTCTTCCATCTTCTGGCATTGACAAATTTAATGTTCTGGAAGCCATTTAGTTGCATGTTTTTTGTATCTTTTCCAGCTTGTTGATGTGCTTCTTAAGGATATGGACACCATACAACCGCTGCATATTCTAACTTTAGTCACACTAAGGTCATGAACAATTTTTTTATTATTTCACCATCAATGAATTAAAAGCAATTCGGAAAGTGTAGCATAGGCTCCTCGCAGTGTTCTTTATGTGGTCCTCAGGTGACAGTTTTCTATTTATAACAACCCTAAATCTCTTAACCAGATTTTTTTTTAAATATTTTTATATAATTCATAGGATGAGTGTAGTCTATTTTCTCCTATTCTACATTCCATGACATGGCAATAATTCACATTAAATTCTATATGCCAAGTAGTGCTCCATACACTTATCTTGTCCAGGTCTTTTTGAAGGGCATGACGATCATCTAGGTTTCTTATCTTTCCTATTATCTTCGCAGCATCAGCAAACACATTCATACAAATCTATATTCCTTCTGGTAAGTTGTTTACATAGACAATTAACATTACTGGTGCAAGAGCTGAACCTTGGGGTACTCCACTCATGACATTTCTCCAATCAGATACATTGCCTCTGATTACTGCCCACTTTTTTCTGTCAGAAAATTTTTCATCCATGTTAGAAGTCTCAAAGTTATTCCTCCAATATGTTCCAGTTTCCAAAACAACCTCTTTTGTGGGACGTAAAGCCTTTTCTATGGGGAGCCCCGTCAGCTCCTTGGAGCTATCGGACTGATATTAGCTATATTAGTGGGGGCTTCAGTCACATGAAGTTCTGTCTACTGGCCAGAACTCCTACTGGAATTTTGTTCTACTGAGCCAGAACCTGGTTCCCTCAGAGAGGCACAGTGAGCAATGGCCCATGAAAACTCTACTCTTTGAAAGGATATTCATATCTACCATCGACTGGGTTTAGGTTCCCAGAAAGGTAGGTGCCCCAAAACAGACCCCAACTGTAGAAAATTTCAACATAAGACCGAACAGAGCCCAAGAACTCCCCCCCCAAGAAAAATAAGGTAACAAGCAAATCGTCATCAAACCAACACGCAGCTCGTTCACGCCACCAACCCAGGAGGGGGAGGGAGAGGCCCTGCCCACCCCAGCTGGCCTCCTGCCCACCCCAGCTGGCCTCCTGCCCACCCCAGCTGGCCTCCTGCCCACCCCAGCTGGCCTCCTGCCCACCCCAGCTGGCCTCCTGCCCACCAGTTCATTGACTGAAGCCGGCTGGGGCTGACGAGACATTTCTTTTCCTTTGGGTTTCTTTCATTCCTCCGGCTTCATTTTCCTGTCAAGGTTTTACCCTAGTGGTTGTACCTGCTGTGTGTTGGGGTGTTGGCCAGGAGTATGCAGTACTTCGGGGCTGCATGTGCTTAGGGTTATCTTTCCTAGGTGCACTGTAAGTAAATCCCTTGGGTCTCAGGGTTATCTTCCCTGGAGCTTTCGGGTTCTCACTCTCATAGGGGTTGCTGTCGCTTGGCATCGGCCTTACCCTTGGGATCAGTGGGAGCCTTGGCACTTTCATTTTGGCTTCTGGTAGGGAGTGTCTGCTGCTGGATGTGGTGCATGGTGCTGCGCAGCTTGCATACTAGCAACGGCCATGCCTCTCTCTGGCCTCAGGTTGTTGTGGTGCACCTTCGGGATTTCTTTTCATTCCATTTTAAGTTTTTCTCTGCCTGGCTTCCCATTAGGTATGCCTAGGTTCCCTTTGGTAATCTTTCACTTGGCCCCTGAGATTGCTTTTTCACAGGGGTCAATTTAGCCTGGGAAATTTATGAGATTCAACCAGCTTTGCAGCACCAGTGCCTGGACTTCTCATAGGGACACTATCCCCCTGAAGGCCCTGGAAACCCCCTCTGTCGGGGCTCGGGTGACTATGGATATGTCTTTTGAGTCCCATCTCGCCTTGTGTGAGTTTGAAGATTGTTCATTGCCCTTGTCTCAGAGTGACGATCATCTGTTTTGCCTCTATCATGCTGCTTGTTGGGTTGACAACATCTTCAACCCGGAGTCGTGCGAGACTTGTTCCTTGCTCGTTATCCAATTTAAGATAAAGGTTTAGCTCCTTCCCAGATTCATTTCAGAGTTTCTTTGGGTTCCATGACTTCGTCTTTCTGGAGGATTTTCACCTCTCAGATTTACCCTGCATAGGTTCGAGAGGCCCTTGGTGCATACCTCTTGCGGGACCCAGACTTTGCCTCCGTGATGGACCTGGTCTCCATTGAGTTCGGTTCTTCTTCCCTGTATTGGGTGCGTTATGAAGTTCGGACATCTTCCTGGCTTGCAGATTGTCCTTTCTTTTCGCTTGGGGCATGGCACAGGTTCTGTTGTACCCACATGCTTGATTGATGAGAGCTTACTATGACCTTGCAGGTTTACCTGGGTGGCACTTTTGAGCACATCAATGCGTACCTTTATGCCCCTGTGCTTCCTTGTAAGGTTGGCTTGCTCCAGTTGCATGCCCAGGTCCTTTCCTTTTCAACTGCACTGACTGTAGAGGATCTTCGCGCTCGCGGGCATCTGGCATCGGTCCTCTGCTTCTTTTCCCCTTCTCGAGCTGTCCTCGGATTGACTTGTAGAGAATGTAGAGGAGCTGAGTGCCAGGCCATCGTCTGGGCCAATGGCCTCGGCTGCCAGGGCGTCAGTGCCATTGCTGAAACTGTGTGCGCCTATCGTCAAGGAGGCGGCATTTCTGTTTTTTGCCTCTCTCCTCGCGCATTGGCAGGCTATCCTTGCTCGCTCTCTCTTGATGCTGCCTGGGCCCTGGGTCTTAGGTTTTCATCTCCTTTTTGTCTGTTATTGTTTTCAGACTCAGTTGTTACTCAGTTTTTACAGGCAGCTTTTGCTAGTTGCCGTCCTCTTTCTGATTTGTTGGTGATCCGGGGTGGGCATTCTCGCACTTCCTGGAAAGGTCGTGCCAGGGTTCAGGTCTCTGCAGGCCGCTTTGGGTTGATCTGCTTTCCCCTCTTCCCTCTTCTAGGGCTCAGATCTTTAAGGTCATCCACAGAGCTATAAAGTCATGCCCATGATATGCACAAGTTTGCAGCTCTTGCTGTGGCTTTTAGTATTATGTCTTGGGCTGACATTCGGGTGTGGGGGTTTTGGAGGTCGAACAAAGTTCCGGCTGCCTGTTATCTTGTATACGTTCCGGGGCCCTAAGTGGCCTTGGGCCATCAGTTGCAGCCAGTTGTCCCATCTTTATCGTGAGGAGTGCGGTGCTGCCGCCTCCTGGGTAAGTCCCTCTTTTACTTATCTTTGGGTACCTAGCTCCAGGGAGCTGATGTGGCTCCCCACAGAAAACTAACTTTGAATGTAATGAATGCCATTTTCTGGGTGAGCCCTGGAGGCTCCCTGGCAACCTCCCTCTCTCCAATCGGCAGTTTTTGTTTTCGCTTGCTTAGTCTCTGAACTGATGGGCGAGCAGCCGGCTCGGGAGGTCAGGTCCCCCTCCCCAAGGTTGATGACATTTTGCTTGTTGCATTGTTTTTCTTGTGGGGAGTACTTGGGTTCTGTTCGGTCTTAGTTTGCAATTTTCTACCAGTTGGGGTTTGTTTTGGGACACCTACCTTTCTGGTTGCCAACCCCGGTCGATGGCAGATATGAATATACTCTTAAAGAGTGGGGTTTTCATAGGCCATTACTTCCTGCACCTCTCAGAGGGAGCCAGGTTCTGGCTCGTGTTCCCCGGTAGGCAGAACTCCATGTGACTGATGCCCCAGACCAATATAGCATATATCAGTCCGATAGCTCTAGGGAGCCTCCGGCACTCATCCAGAAAATGGCATTTCATTACATTCAACACTGGTTTTTTAACTGATTTACTGACACTCACTTATGTCATTATTTCACAAAACAATAAGCATTGATCATGTCTTCCTCTCAGGATGAGTAGCAGTATGGGCTACTACACAGCGAGCGGCATGCCAGGTGGTGGGGTGTACCAGAGCATGGGGGGCATACAAGGTATGTCTGGAGGGTTGTATGGAACTCCCCAAGGCCCCACGGCAGCAGGTCACACTACTGTCTCCTACAGGGCACCAACACCCCCACAGACACCTAGCACACAGGCAAGTCAAGCTGAGGCTCTGAGTGAGGTTGTACAATAGGTGCTGTCATGTTGAGACATTTTTTTGCCTTAGAAAGTATCAAAATGAGACTTATTCTTATTGTCAAATAAATTGGAAAGTTATTATTTAAGCACTTTATAAGTAGATGAGCAATAATTGTTCATTGAAAATGAAATTTATCATTAATAGATCTTAACATATACAACCAGTCAATCAGAACTCTTAACTGACTTCCCACTAAAATGTAGTAGCAAAGCAGATACAAAGGAATTGCACCTTTTTATGCTTACTATTGCTAATTACCACCCGCAACTATCATTGTTACCCCACAGTATAACACACTAAATTATACATACTCATTTATAATCCTCCCAACTCACCTTTAGATACATTTTCTTAAGATAATAATTACTTTCTTAGGCTGAAAATTGCCTGAATTGCTGTCTCAGATATTTTTTACTAACTATATGTATATCTGTACAGTGTGTATATATATACTGTGTGTATATATATATATATATATATATATATATATATATATATATATATATATATATATATATATATATATATGTGTATATATATATATATATATATATGTATATGTGTGTATATCACGAAAATAAACACGTGATTAAGAATGTGACAATGTCAGACCACGGAGGAAAATGAAACAGGAATTTCCTTAAGTACTTTCGTATATACGAAAGTACCTTCTGAAGATGTATTTAATATACGAAAGTACTTAAGGAAATTCCTGTTTCATTTTCCTCCGTGGTCTGACATTGTCATATATATATATATATATATATATATATATATATATATATATATATATATATATATATATATATAAATATATATAAATATATATATATGCAGACGAGGAGTCACATTAACGTGGCTGAAATATATATATATATATATATATATATATATATATATATATATATATTAGTATATTTTGGTAGCAGTCTTTTTTGTAAACATATGTTGTTGAATATGACCGAAAGGGTAAGATTAATAATTCTAACATGAATCTTCTCAATATTTCTTACGTTTTTCTTCAGTCAAGAGTAATTGAAAAATTAACTCTTCAAAATTCATTTTTTACATATTTATTTTTGGTCTGACGCCTAAAAGTGTTTCGTAAGGGCTTCATACATTTTCAATGACTGTTTTACACATAACATACATCATGCTTATATTTGTTTTGGGTGAGGAGATATGATACAAAAGTTTTTGGTGAGGTGAATATAAATTGGATATGAAAACATAAGAATGGAAGTAACTACAGAAGGCCTATTGGCCCATTCTTTCTCTTGCTGCTTCTATGTTCGTTCGGGGTCTTGAAGTGAGTAGAATATAGTTATGCGTTATTGGCTGTTGATTGCTGGTGTTACCTTTTTGATGTGTAGTGCCTCGCTGATGTCAAGTCTCCTGCTATCGCTGTATCTATCAAGGATTTCTGTGTTGCTTGTAAAAAATGAATTTTGGAGAGTTAATTTTTCAATTACCCTCGACAGTGAAGAAAAACTTAAGAAATATTTAGATGAGTCATGTTAGAATTATTAATCTTACCCTTTCGGTCACAACTACATTTCGGTATATATTCATATATATATATATATATATATATATATATATATATATATATATATATATATATATATAACTGAAAACTCACAGTCCTGGGGACTGGAATTCAAGGAATTCAAGGAATTCAATTCAAGGAAGGGGGTGGTAGGAGAAAAGCACACAGAAACTGTATTGGAGGGGATCTAAACATTCCCTCTAATGCGTTATGCGTGGTTTCCTCCGAGGCTATGGGTCCCCCTTCTTCCAGCTAGAGGTGGTACTCCCTTCCTAGTTAAAAGCTACAAAAAAAAAAAAAAATATATATATATATATATATATATATATATATATATATATATATATATATATATATATATATATATATATATATATTATTAAATATGACCGAAAAAGTAAGATTAATAATTCTAACACGAATTTTCTCAATCTTTCGTACATTTCTTTTCACTGTTGGAGGTAAATCAAAAATCAATTCTCCAAAATTCATTTTTATTTCTAGTCTGACGCGACACGAGCGCGTTTCGTAAAACTTATTACATTTTCAAAGACTTTAGTTCACAAATACACAACTGAATAGAACTTAGAATAGAATAGAACTTACTGAATAGAACTTAATAGAACTTAAATGTAAGTTCTATTCAGTTGTGTATTTGTGAACTAAAGTCTTTGAAAATGTAATAAGTTTTACGAAACGCGCTCGTGTCGCGTCAGACTAGAAATAAAAATGAATTTTGGAGAATTGATTTTTGATTTACCTCCAACAGTGAAAAGAAATGTACGAAAGATTGAGAAAATTCGTGTTAGAATTATTAATCTTACTTTTTCGGTCATATTTAATAATATATGTCTACAGGAAAGACTCCTACCAAAATATATATATATATATATATATATATATATTTGTTAAATATGACCGAAAAAGTGAGATTAATAATTCTAACACGAATTTTCTCAATATTTCTTATGTTCCTTTAACTGCCAATGGTAATTGAAAAATCAATTCTCCAAAATTCATTTTTATTTCTAGTCTGACGCGACGCTTGAACGCGTTTTGTAATAACTTATTACATTTTCGAAGACTTTGGTTTACACACACACAACTGTAACCTGAAAACACTGAACAGAATTTTACTTATACTAACACTAAACAGCTTATCCGTCTTACATATACTACAGTGGTACCTTGCATAACGATCGCCCCAAAAGGCGAACATTTTGAGTAATGAACGCCCCGATCGGCGTCAAATCGTCCTGTATGGCGAACGCTCGTTTGAGTAACGTCAACACTACATGGTGGGGTCGCGCTGCTTCTTGCACATTCTTGGACGCCTCCGACGATGCACATAAATTATGTTGTTCTTGTTTAAAGATGCTAATGATGCTGGGATATAAAAGGGTGACTGCTGAGATGTTGCATAAGCATTGACGTTTTTGTAGAAAAAAAAACGAAATTAAATTTCTGAAATACAACAAATGTCAATAAGGTTCGTTCGGTGTTCGGCAGGTAGGCTGCTCCATTATAACAATCTTTCTTTGTTTCAAATATGTTCCATTTGTTTTGTATTTGTCATTTACGTCTCAATAATGGAGTAGTCTACTTTTCATACACTGAACAAACCTATATGACATTTTCCTTTCTTCAAATGTGCTCAATATTTATTTTTCATTAGTCTTACAGCAAAAGGTTCGTTAGGTGGTCGGCAGGTAGGCTGCTCCATGTTTCTTACTTAAAAAAAAAAACGTAAACAATAAAAAAAAGGAAAAATTTTGAAAACCAGAACAAATGTCAAAAAGGTTCGTTCGGTGGTCTACAGGTAGGCTGCTCCATATTTCTTAAATACAAAAAAGAAAAAAAACAAAAAAAACTGAAACAATTTGATAAATGGACAAATGCCATAAAGGTTCGGTCAGTGTTTGTCGGGTAGGCTGCTCCATTATTGAGACGTAAGTGACAAATACAAAACAAATGGAACACATTTGAAACAAAGAAAGATTGTCATAATGGAGCAGCCTACCCGACAAACACTGAACGAACCTTTTGCTATAACGAATATGAAAGACAAGGGCTGCTGGCTGGGTTAGTACTGCGTGAGCAACCATTTGTGGCACACGTGCCTCTGGCTCCCAAATACCTGTCCGACACGGTGTTGAAAAATTGCGCTTAGTCGGTGAAATTCAGACCTTATTGTTTGAAGAACATAAGGGTCATAATATTGGTGAAGCTAGGCGCAATAAGGACTTAACACAACGGTCGGATGCAAGTGATACAGCACCTATGAGGATGATACAGCGAGCATATCCAGTTGTAGCTCTGAGCCCCACCCTTGCCATCTCCAAGTTATATACATGATACATAGATGAATCATTTTCTGCATTCAGTGATGATGCATCTGATACAAGCAGTATAGATGAACAGTGTTAGCGGCTTCCACAGTGGTGTTTTCCATAGATGTTTTCAAAAATACCTGAATCTCTTCCTGACTGACGGACACTCTTTGAGATTAGCTGAATTTCTTCCTGTATGGGACCTTACAAAGCTATTTTTTCAAGACTACCTTACAATATGAGCTTTTCCTATAATCGTTTCAATACTACCTTATGCTTTACAAGCTTGGCTACATACCATCTACAAGTACTAAAGCCAAGGGTGCACGCGAGTGCGTTATTTGCAAGCACACAGAACGATGAAACAGGAAGCGAAAATCTATCTGTAGCTGGTGCAACGAGAGCAAAGTCGTGCTGTGTACCATGGACTACTTCATTGATTATTACGCACCTCCAAAGTACTGAGTGTGTAATACAGTGTGTTACTGTGTAAATAGTATGTGAAACTGTACATATTGTAATTTTAGTGAATTTTTTACCACGTAATATTGTGACAATAAACATTTATTGTGGACACATTACTGACACATGTATCACAGTTCCATGGAAAATTCTACTGTATACATATTGTAAAGGTCACAAATATGCATCATATACGATAAAAAAAACTAATAAAACCGCATTGGAAATACATAGAACAAATATTTGAAAATATATTTGTGGCAACACGCGGTGCTTGAATGGCCTGCGCGACCGTGTCTGGGAGCTTCACACACGGGCGACCAGCCCCTGATGACGTCACAGCGCACCTTGTCCACGTCCTCACAGCCAAAGTAAGTGGAATTTGGTAATTATTTTTACATAGACATGTTCAGGGAAGGTAATTTATCATTTTACAAAGAAAAATTATTTTTGGGAACATTTGATGTCATGCACACTGGGGGAATTTCACAATAAACACAATGCATCACAGTGGTTAAATGGGGACATTTGTTTTGTATGACGTCCGTTTCACATGACGAACACGGCGCCGGAACGAATTAAATTCGTTATTCGAGGTACCACTGTAATATATA